GTCATTAATAATTTGTCGGGTACAAACACAAATGATTCTTGGTAAGTATACAATAACTGGCTGGACTAAATGTTCAAGATAAACTATAGAGTCATCCACTGTCATTCAGTGACGTAGCATGGGCATCTTAGCAAAAATGACTGAAGAGTATCATTTAATCTTTTGAGTAGAATAAGCAGAGATGAGTTAAAAGAGATTCAACTGTAAAAGGCTGTTCCTAAAAGTCTTTGCTTAGTTTTCTCATCGAACAACCTTCTAACAGCTCATATATATCAGCAACTTCTGAATCTGCTTCTAAAATTTCAAAGTGCCTACTATGTGCCAGGCATCAAACTTTGGCACTTTATGTGAAGTTTCTCAATCTTGATGGTGAACATCTCAGAGTAACTCCCTTTTTAAATTGTAAAAATTTATTTTTTTCTTTTGTGTTACTGTTGATTTGTTCTAGAGATAGCTACACCACCAAACAGAACAATGTCCTCAGACCTAAACAAAGTAGTTTAACACAAATTAGCTAAATAAATGCAATAAATTTGAATACAGCTAAAAGTCTGACATCACTTCCCTAAAGAGAAAAGCATTAGAAGTTTGTGTTTAAGTAAAATATTTATTATGGGATTTTAACTAATTCCAGTGAACGCTATAAAAAATGTGAATGTGATCTAGCCATATGTGGACATAGCTATAGATTTACATTAAATTATAACTATGTAATATATCATTAATAAAGAAAATGACCAAAATTTGCAGTCTTCTCTACCAAATATATAAACACTTCAATTTCATTGTTAAGAATTCTTTGTGGTAACTAAGATGATGGTCAGGGAGTGGCAGGAGAGAATATAACCAATCGCTTACTATAGTTTAAGAACAAATCACTACACACTTTCCTTAAAACCCACAATAGGAGGAAACCCAAACATTTAGTTTCTAAATTTCAGCTTTGAGAAGAGAGATGGAAAAAAAAAAAAATGGCAAACAGCAGCCACCACTGTGTCTCTAAAACTATCTGTTCCCCACATGCCTCTATCATTCCATATTTTCTTAGTAGTTTAGAGACTCTCCAAAATCACTTTATATCAATGGATAATACACACTAGATTTTTTACACATTAAGAATCTCAAGTATGGTTCTGTCCTGTAGATTGTCACAAAAGTGATATTCTGAAGCAGCTTTAGTTTCTAGAACCATACTGTCTGCTGCTATAGAATGTCTACAATTAGAGAACAGATACTCCAAACTGCTATTTCCAAAGAAATCACATCTTGAAAAACCAACACCCAGATACATACTAATAAACACTAATCAATACAACTAAGTGTTAATTGCTTGCGAAAAGACAAAAAAGAAAGACTATGGAAAATTAGAAAAAAAAAAACGGATCATTGGTGGTTTCAAACTTTGAAGTCAGGAAAAAACTGATTTAAATATGTACCATGCTACTTCCAAGATACATCTTAAATAGGTTGCTTAAAGTCTTCAAGACTCTGTTTCCTACTGTCAAAAGTGAGGGATTACACCATCTAACTCACAGAGTTGCTGAACAGTAGCATGTATGGTCCCTACACAAAGTAAGAACTTAATAAATTGTAACAGGTATTGATTGCTATTGTTTGGAAGTTCAAGATAACACAAATTCAGTTATAATGTAAGTCCTTTTAAAAGACTAAGAGAAATAGAAAAAAAAATATCACACACTCCTTCCTATAACATGATTCCACACAGACTTAAAGACTGGCCTTGTAAGGGTGATATTTTTCTAACCACCCCTTGATAATGAATAAGTTTAGGGTTAAATTATTTTAGGGTCATCAGGTATTAAAATGACTGAAAACCTTATACATATTTATCTGAAACTGTAGAAGTTTCTCAGTTGATCATCCTACTGTTATAGTCAATTCTCTTTGTATGTAGATTTCTTACATTTCACTTTAACCATAGCAAATGTCACCTTCAAATGTATTAAGAATAACATAACTATCCAATAAATTGTATTTTGTTTTGTTATTTAATATTTTGGCATCCTCTGTTTAGTCTGATTCATCCTTTTGGGAAGCTTTTTGAAACTAAACCACCTGTTCCAGTCTGAAAAAAATGTGAACCAATAAACTACACCAGAATAATGGTCTAGTCTCTGCATAGATGGGATTACAGAGGGGACACAGAGAAGTAAATGGAGTGCTTTCCATTTATTCCTGAGTCACATTTTTACAGTCTGGATTTATTTCATGTAAAACCAATTACCAGATTACCAGACACACCCATATTCAAATACAAGTAAAGAAATATGACAAAGCCATGTGTGAGCTGTTTTAGATTTTATGCTTTTCTGCTTTCCTCCATTAGCATGATAACAGGTTGACTATCCTGTTATAATTTATTTCCTTAAACTTACTATCCTTTTTTGCCTACCTACTTCCTATCAGCATAGAATCTATATACTTAGACCTTCATACCTCAAACTGACTCATTTTTAAGTACAAGGCATTCTAGACTTCCCTGGACTGATCTCCACCTACTTTCACAGCTTCCTCTCCCACAAAGACCTCCTAGCACAGCAGCCTCATGTCCAGCTCAACAGGCCCCATAATTCCCAACCCATATGTCTGTGCTCAGGCTGTTCCCTTCACCTAGAAAACTACCCTCCACACATACACGCACAGCCCCCGTTTTGCCCATTAAAATATTTTAAAGCCCAAATGGAGTGTTTACCAGCTCTAAACTTATTCATAACTCCCCAGTCAAAAATTAGCAACACACACACACAGAGCATGCTTCCATGCATCTCTAATAAAGCCCACAAGAGTCTGCAATTTTTCTGTGCAAGTCTGCTTTTCCCTTAAAGGCAGCTACTGGCTCTCATTCATCTTCATAGTCTACCCACTCTTGCGTCTTCACCACACAATAAAAGTCCATTGCACACAGTAAAGATCTAGGTTGAACTAAACTGTTCTTGATTCTAATCCCAGTCCTTTTATTTGAAGGAATAAATGACTCATGTGTTAAAAGTTTTGTTAACAGTAATGCTTGCAAATGTGATGATAAAAATGTCAATAATGTATTAATTTTTTAGGTTGATGAATGAAAAGGTCAATGAGCACAATAAGGCATCAGTAAAGATAATTATTTTCCAAGAGTCACTCAAAAGTCTCATGTTGTCAATACTAAAATTAACCTTTCTGGACCCCCATTCTAATAAAAACTACTTATACCTGATACATATCCAGAAATGCAAGCTCGCTTAAAGTAAAAGTTATCTACACACTGCTAGGAATCTATGCTAAAACCATGCAATTTATTTGATAACATCTTTCTTCTAATGCCCGTAAATATAGTTTTCATCTTTTGTGCAACTATAAAGGCTAACATGTACAAAATATGGAAATAATTTATCTTAGCTCAGAATACAGTTGAAGCAAAGTTTGGGGAAAATTATAAAATGCACTAAGCACCTTTCTCCAGCCCCCTCCTCCCAAAAAAATATTAAGAATGTTACAAACAAGATATAATTTTTGGTAGAAAATGTTTTCTTAAACTAGCCTCACATATTTCTAATTCTAAATCATTCTTATTATAATTTTGTGACAGTTTTATTCCACAATTTATTTATAGAGAAAGCAAACATTCTTCAAATATATATACACTGCTTTAAAATTAGATATTTTTAATTTTAAAAAGTATTCCAACTTAGATGTAGTTCAACATCTTTTACTATCTGTGGGCAAACGTCATTCATATCACAAGAAGTAATTGCAAGAGTAATGGAAATATTGACTTATTTTCTTAACTTATTAAAAATCAGTAGGTTTTTAATTTTTCAATTCAAGTAGATATTCTGAAACAAAAGGTTAAAACGGGGTCACTTACTAACCAGCCTTGGTACTCATTACAACAGAGTTAAAACTAATTCGCAGAGTAGCAACAGCAGCCATCTACCACACGCTCTCCCACCCATTAACTTTTCCTCCTTCCCTGGGAGAAATGGAATGATCATAACACAGACTTAACTTCCCCCAACCCCACGAGAACATACGCATCTCCATCATCACCCTACAAAAGAGAAATGTGGGAGCTGTGGACCAAGAGAACCGACGCTTCTGTATGTCACTTCCCCTGCATGAGATAAACAAACAAACCAGCACCGTAACAGTATCCATCAGAGTAATTTTATTACCCCGACTAATGCCTCGGTTAAGTTTTGAGCTAAGTCAGAAGCTCTATCAATAGGTAAATCCCCAGCCTCCGCCTAAAAACAAACACCCCAACGGGAAGTTTATCCCTGAAATGAATGCTGCCCGACACCTCATTCCAGGAGACCGATGCCTTCCTCCCTCCTGCCCAAAACCCCCACTCCGAAGGTAATTGTCTGGACACAATCAAGGAGCGCTGGGGACTGCACTCCGGACCTCAAAACCCCTCCCAAAAGAAGCCTCTACCTTTTCCCAGCTCGCCCACCTCCCGCCTGTCCCCACTCGCGCCGCACCACTCGGGCAACTTCTGCAGCCAGCCGCGTCCGGCG